AATTCATTCCAGTAGTGGAGTTCTGTGTTCATAGCCTCATCTTTCTATCCTGGTGAAGACTAGTCGTCTGCCGGGTAGTTTGACTGAGAGGGCTTGGTCAGCTTAAGAGATTCCAAGCTAATTTAGGATCTTCCGCAGTTTAATCATCAGTAGATCAACCAAAGGTAATTGCAACTTGGACCTAATTGAGGAGCTAAGGGGAATCATACCTAAGTGAGTTCCCAAACTGTAATTAGTAGTTTTACTTAGTTTAGTTAGTAGAGTAGTTTAGTTAATCAATCCTTAATCTAGTTTGCTAGATAATGAACTGAAGCTGAGTAATAGTAACTCTAGAGACCCGTTGATTCGATATTTATTACTTGTGCCACTATACTGCAGTCCCTTTCATTGGTTACACTTGGCCATTGTTAGGTGTTGTGTTTTAGCGTGTCAGTCTGCTGCTAGACTCGGGAATGGTGCTAGTAGTACAACAATTGTATCTTATAGCTCGGCGCGCCGGGTCACCTTTTGAATTCAGTAAGTAGATAGAAGAAACTATTAGGTAGATAAGGAGTAAGGTAGGCTAGCTGGCTAAATGAAATGGCGTTGCTGACTCTGACTCTGGTTCGGGGGGGATTTCCTTTTTCAATTCCAGAAGTTTCAGAGCTAATGTAAAAGAAGCTATAGAAGAGGGTCACACTCCAGTATCCGCTTCGATTCATGTAGCTACTATGGTAACAGCTAGCATTTTCATGATAGTAAGATGTTCCCGTTTATTTGAGGGCTTACCCCCAGCACCTTGCTTTCTCCGACGATCTAGAAAAAATATCGCGCGTTGTCGTACACGACCTTATATGAGAGCCGCACATTTCATTTTTATTGATAGAATATTGTTTAATACGAAGTACCGAAGAGATATTTTTTTGGATGAATTGAAATAGGTCTGAGAACTGCAATTAGATTAATGACCAAAAATCAAAGAAGGATTAAGAACTCATCAAGCTTATGGACATCTAATCCCTAGTGAATATCAGGAGTAGGGGAACCGTTCTTTCCTCGGGGGTTTAGAGGTGCTTGCATCGTGGAATAAGGCTTCATACTCCCCACCGTAGTACAAAAACAAAATTCGACATTGGGGTAATAGTGCAGAACTCAATAATCAAACATTCCAGTTTTCAATACAACGGCTAGCTTTTCGACGAACGCTCTTTAACTCCATCCTTTGATGTCTTCTATTTGAATTAGTCGATTAGCTTTCGAATGCGGTATCCAATCCATTTCGCATGCTAGTTCGTCTGTCTCTACATTTATACACTAGTTGGACAAAATTCAAACTATAAAGAAAGCAATTGGTTCGAAAGCTGTGACTATTTCGACTGTTAGCATTACAACTTTCTTTTAACTTATTAGGACATCAAGTAGAAGTTCTTATTGCTCCGGACGAGGAAAATATCACCCAAACCAAGAGAAAATAAGATCGAAGAAGGGGAGAGGATAAAATCAATGATTTATTCACTCACTCTTTCTAGCATATTCCAATTTCCGGTCAATAGAAAGCACTCTTTTTAGGAGAGGGAGGTCTTTTACCAATAGTCGAAAAGGATCTACGCTAGCTCATTTCGTTGGGAATTGATAATGAAAGTTTTCTTTTCTTAGTTTGGTCACCGACAATGCAGTTAAAAGCGCGATTCTACCTAGAAGCGGAAATGGGTAAAATCGTAAAACGTAGAATCAAAGCGTAAAAGCGTAAGTTTTTTACGCGCCCGCTAAAATAGCTAAAATATGTTAAGTACAACATATAGTATGTAAAATGTGAGTGCGTAGATTTTAGATAAGTGAATAACTACATGAAATTCATAATTAAAATGTAATATCTAACACATAAACTAATTTGTGTTGACTCAAAAGTAGAGAAAACTCATAACATCTTAATACTAAGCTCATAAACGTAGATCGTACCCGTAAACGAGCTTGAGAATCCAAATTCTCATAAGCTGGTTTGATTTTACATAATTACATATGATCAATTACCCATAAACTTTTATCGTAAGGTAAGAGCCACAGGTGAAGATTAAGGGAGAAGATTGGTAGAAGGTCAGCGGCTGTAGAGAATACCATTAGGTGTCTTTTCAACCTAATGTGAAGCCCCTATCTCGACATTATTTGTAGAACGAGTGATGAATCATGTTTTCCTTTTTTTATTTTTTGCTGATATGTCTCCAAAATTACATCATTTTAGGCCAATTAGCACATTTTAATGAGATGAACAAAATCGTATAAAAACACCTCAAAATCGCGATTTTACCGATTTTAAGCGATTTTACCGATTTTACCCACGTTTTTACCAGTTTTTGTGACTAAGCGACTTTAGTTAGAAACTGAAACGTTTTGGTGGCCTGGATACGTAAAAACGTAAGTTTTTACGTTTTAATTCGCGATTTTGACTTCACTGGTCACCGATAGAGAAAGTAGCTAGGCTTTCCGATGTTATGAAAGAAATAGATCTTAGTAAAGAATGGGGAAAAGCTAGTTTGCTACATAATCAATGAGAATCGTACAAACAAGCGAAGACTAGCCAGACACTGAGGGCTAAGAGGTGGAGGACAGATTTAAGAAAAATAGCACTCCCTTGTACTAGTCCACACATCTCTAAATAGCACTCCCTTGGCAACCTATAAGAATAATTATTAGGAATAACCAAAGCCTAGCTCTATCGAACTTACCTCAACGACTTGAACTTCCTATCGACTTCAGACCAAAAGAGAGTGGGGGAGTCAAAGGTTACCAAAGAGGTAAAATTGCATTGTTCTTGCAATATGATCGCCAGAGAGGCAGAGAGAAAGGAGAATTAGGGGTCGTTTGGATGGAGCATTTCTAAAACGAGGCAATTTGGGTTAAATGTCTCATTTTAGAAAATGAGGCAATTCTATGAGAAATTTGTCCTAGATTATCTTGTTTGGTTTGTCATATGAGATGAGGCAATTAGAATGAGACATTTTTAGAGAATATACACTTTTGCCCTCGGGTATTACCCTTCTTCTTCACCTTCCTTTCCTACTCTTTGTACCCAGAATGACAAAAAAATTACTGACCCACAAATCATTCGTTCTATACAGCAGACATAGACGCCAATCTAGAATCATTAACCCGGTAACCCCCAGAAATTGATCCACCCTTTCTCTTTCCTCGTGAGCATAACCCCCATAAATTGAAATCAAAACACAAGAAAGACACGAGACAATCAGAAGAGGGCATTTTCTGAAGAAAGCAAGCAATCAGAGATTCATATGAAAAACAAAAAAAGCAACAAGATTGATTCAACAATAAAATCAGAAACTCAATTAAAAATAGACGAATTGTAAAACATAATTTTGGGTCTCATCTCCCATGAGTTGAAATTGAGCAATCGAACGAGGATCGGAACGATCCCTAATCCATTGCTATCATGACATTTTGTCATCTTTAAGCAGAAGATGGAGGTGCGAGTCAATTGCCCAGTTCGTTGACTCGTGGCACCCGATCTAGAGTCGTCAACTAATTAGTGTACTTGGCTCGAGCAGCGACGCGCTGGGAGAAAGATCCTGGCATCCTGCTGCAGACGAGAACTCGCCATTGTTGATGTGGAGGTTGAGCCTAGCGATGATGGAGTCAAGGTCGCTCTGGATCTCGACCTTGCCTTCAGATAAAAGACTAGCAGTTGGCGGCGAACTAGGCGGCGGCGACAAGGGTGCAAAAATCGAGTAGAGAAAATCGGAGGAGATCGGCCAGAATCGGAGACCATGGTTTTGGAGTTTTCAGCAGAGTGAGGGAGAGGGGGGAGGAAGAGAAGAAAAAAGAAAATTTAAAAAGAAAAGGGTAGCTTTGGCATAGGCCCACACAAAAATGAGTCAATTGAGAAAACCTACCTCCCCACCAGGTAATGTGAAATGACCCAAAATGAAGCAATGTACATTCTCCCATGTATAATTGACTCATTCATCTTTTTTGTGGCCAAACGGGGTAATTAGACTCAATTGTCTCATTTTGAAGCAATTGGGACAAATTGCTCCATCACATAGATTCATCCAAACGACCCCTTAGGGTTTTTTGCTTTTCGGGGGTATGGTTCGAATGAAGGAGGCGGCAACAGCATGCTAGGGTTTACCCATCTATTAGCAGCATATATATATCACGGACAAAACGACGTCGTTTTGCGGGACGAGTAATCCGTCTGGCAAGTCTCGGGGCAGATAGTCATCGATCCGTCACCACCCAAGACCCAAGGTTGACTGATTAGGTTCACCGCCGCTCGTTGACGAGCCTCAGAATGCAACCATTTTGGCAGATAACTTGCAGGTTTTGGGCAGGTATCCGCCTACAGGTAGGGGTGACAAACGGTAAGTCGGTAAACGGTTTACCGGCGGTATCGACAGCCGAGGGTCAAATGGGGAAGCTTGGTTTACTGGCCCCAATATCGGTAAATACCGACGGTAATTCGGTAATACCGATACCGGACTAGTTAAGGCATTAACTAATAACATATACTTCATTATTCACAAATATTACATACATGAATGAAAGTAACTAAGTATAGGCCAAAAAAATATTATAAATAAGAGTTAATAATAATTTATTAATTACAAAAATGAAGAAAAAATTCAGAAAAATCAAAATATTACAACATCACTCCATTGCCCAGAAATTCGCTCGGTAATTTTCCGGTAAATCGAACTGAAAAACCGTCCGCAACTACTCTTTACGGTAAGTCGATAAAATCGGTTTGTAACCGTTTACCGGTAATTCAGTAACCGGTAAACCAGTTACAAACAGGTATCGGTAATCGATTCTCACTTACCCACACTCGGCATACCGAAAACCAGTAAAGTCGGTAATCGGTTTACCGGTTACCGACGAATACCACCCCTACCTACAGGTCGGGGTCGCCATCCCTACAAAGATAAAAAGGTTCCTCCCCTCGCGTGGTGCATTAGTTCCAAAAAATCCATTTTGTACACTACTCGAGAGCCGTTGAAGATAAATATAGCAAATGATGACCACAGGGCTAATAAAATTGCCCACTTCCACCAAGTTTTGGATGAACGATACAAACAGCAAAGAGTTTGCATATGGAGTCTCTGTTCTTTTCCTGATTTATTCTTGGCCCAACGTCAACAGCAAGAAAGGATTTCTAAGTTTGAAGGAACCCATGAGGCCATGACTAGTGTTCACAGAATGTAAAAGTACATTTCATAGATAGATCTTTCTGCAGTTGGCTGGACAAAAATCACCTATTAGTGTTCTTGATGTAAGTAGAATGCTTATTCCGAATGAGTTCAGTTAGGGGCTGTTCCACATCAGAATCAGGTTGCGATTTGTCACGGTATACCGGGATCTTTCCGTCGACAGTAACGACAGTAACCTCTTCTTTACGCGTCAACAGTTCATTCGCTATCACCATATGCATCTTGTACTTTCTAAGAGCCATGTCGGCCTTCTCCAAAAGAATCTTCGAGTCTGTCTCCAACTGAGCACAACAAAGTAAACAGAGAGGTTAGTTGTTATCCTAGAAAGAAGAGAACACCAGTCACATGGAAGAAGCTCAAAGGATGTCAACAAAGTGCTATAGATGAGATCTATATACCTTGAATGATATGCAGAAAGCGAGTGGAGCCCATTCTTTCCTTAGGATTGCTAGCATTTTTGGCACTTGAACAAGTCGCATATCCAAAGGCCCGGATGCGGACTGAATCTTATGCTCTGCCTGCAATAGGTGGTCAAACAAATAAAGCAATGAACATTACAAGGGATAAAACATAGATGTCTGAAACTGCAACATGATGAAAAGGTTTACCATGGTCTGCCATGGAACATAGAAGTCTGAAACTGCAGCAGCAAGATAAAACATGGCAAGTGGCCCGAGCGGCTTCATTGCTTTTGCAATTATTTGTAACATCTGTAAGCAACATCAAACGTTTCAGCATTTACATACAGGGAGGAATACAGAAAGCTCCAGTCTATATATGTCACTGGTCCGCCAATATCAAACATTTCTGTGTTCCAGGGAGGAAAAAGAAGCCAAAAGTAAGGGGCCTAAAGTTCACCTGAAGATACTCAAATATAGTAGTGAAGGGAAGTTTTAACAGTAGGTTTCCTGCCACAGCCTGTGGAAGAAGTTGAAAGAAAAGAGTGAAAAGTGGCTCAATCATATGCTAACTTAAAACTCTAGCTTTGTCGAAGCACAAATCACAAAGAATACTATGACTGAAGTTTTAGTAAGAGGTCAATGTTGCATACTGCATGATGATCACTAATTGACTTCTTCACAGCATCTGAACACGATTGTCGTACTGAAATGTTATAGAAAACTGGGTTATATCATTACAAAGATTACTATTTTGACAACCATATTTAGCAGATTATGATCATATTGCAACCAATGCAGAATATGAACTGTCCACAATCAAAGAAAACATATTTACATTCCCGACACACTAAAACCAAATGAATGTCCTTTCACATGAGGTGAAGTATGAGTAATCAGAGAGAGAAATTCAATCAAACCTCGAATGCTGGAATCGCCATCAAGCTCAAGACATTCAAGCAGTGGATCTTCAGGAAGAGAACGGGTATACGGCATGATGGTTCCCCTGAATGCACAGATTACATCACATATAATTCTTGACTATTTGCCGGAGATTATGCTCGTGCAGTCAAGAGAAAGCAATCGATACAAGAAACTAACTCTCACCTCCTATGTAGAAATACAACAGCATAACCAGCCTTAACGAAGTACCTGAAGACAGTAGAAGAAAACAAAAGGGTCAACAAGAAGAGCGCAAAACAAATTGGAAGGCATTATCACAATACAAGAATCACATGTGACGTGACTCATTACATACTCTGCTGATGTTGCTCCTCTATGGCCTGAACTGAAATTATCGATGTAACGAACGCAGCGTTGCTCCAGTGGAACCGTGGTGCCACCAGATGTCACGCAGACAACCTTCCTGTGCCCTCCATCCCCTGCAGCCAAATCTCGGCATTCAGAAAAGAGGGTAAAGAAGTTTGCAGCTCCCAATCAGTTCTGCAACAGTTCCATGTAGACTTGCCTGCTGCAATGGTGGAGTTGAGCTCGACGAACTCCATAACCCTTTCTCTCAAATTATCACTCTCTTTTAGAGGAGGAGCCGAGGTGAAGAAGGATGTTATTGATTCATCCAATGAGGTTGCTGACAATGCTCCATCTCCTGACTCCATTTTTTCAAAATCCCTAATACAGGAAAATGGGACAGGATCCATAACATAACTTAACTTAGAATAGTACATCAACTACTTCAAGGAGCACAGAGTATGCAGTATTTAATCTTCAAAACACCACAGTATAATAATCAAATCGACGAGGCCAACTAGGTTCATATTCAAGAAGTTAACAATGTGGAAGAAGCAAGCAGTCCTTCAACAGAGGTCATAAATCTCCTATTAGCCCCATTTCCACACAAAGAAACTGCCCCATATATGGTGGAAAAAAAGCCTCATTCAAACGAGAAAAAGGTAAGAAATTTAAAAGATGATTGCCTGAAATTGCAATCAACCAACCTTGGCCGCAGTAACTACAGGCTGGATGTCAATGCCGGTGGTCTGAATGGCTCCTTGGGCCTACTTAGAGATCTCAGCGACAGCAGGAGAAGCGATCTTCAATGCCATTCGGGACCGCCACTTCGATCGCGGGCTTCAGAGCATCAGCAGCGCAGCTTAAAACCTACTTCCACAACCTGGTCAATGGCTATCAAATTTGAAGACACAAACCCAGAGATCCATATAACAAAACTCGGCCAGGGGTTTCGTCGGAGAACTGTCGAGAGGAGCTCAGGGCGAAAGTTTAAGAAGGAGAGTGAAAATTGTTGATATGGTGGATAGAAATGGATAGCAGAGGGAATAAAGTGCCACGGTCGCTGTTTCCGAAATTTTGCGGGCGGCGATCAGAGATGATAGGTAGCTGAGGCACGAATTAGGTCACCCAATTCGCCTAAACTGGCCTGGCGCTCCCCTCCTGCGCTAGAGCGCCGAAGCGCGAATTTTTCAGTAAACCGTATAAAAGTCGCGAATTATGAATTGGCAGAGCGTGAATTTCCAAATCAAGAGCGCGGATTCCATCGGACTGGTATGTCGGCAACCATTGTTTTTCAATGAAATTGGCACTGGAAGAAGGCATATATTTTTCCCACCTACTACTGGCTTCCCTCAACGTCGTTGTGACAGAGGAACAGAGGTAGTCATGTGAGGTTGGGGAGCTAAAGCGATGGAGGCGACTGAGTTACAAGGTGAAATCAAAAAGGAGACTGAGGAACTGGTGGTTAATTAGAGACAGAAGGGTCGAAGCCTGCAGGGGAGGAAGGAGAATCGACAGCGGAGAAAACGAAGAATGGGGATGGAGATATGACGAGAGGAAGAGGATGGGAAGACTAAAGAGACGGTTATTCTAATAAAAAAAGCTATTCTATTGGGGTTATTGCTTTTTATTATAATAATAATATAATATTTGTTAGTTGATTTGGTAGTTGTTAAGTACAACTGACTAATTTATTGATTTGAATTGGCAGTGGAGTCTAATAGAAGAAATATTTTTTAGTGTGCATATTCATAAATCACATAAACATTGATTTGCTGGGGTCAATGGTAATAATCAAGGTTGTCAACCCGCGGATTGACCCAGACCCGGTCGAGTTAGTGGGTAACGGGTTAATGGGTCAACCGTTTTAGCCCGGTTTGGCTCGAAAATATAGAAAGAGTCATTATATTGTACTTATCCTCATAAATTATATCAAATCTTATCTAACATATGAGTTATAACATATAATATTACACCAAAATAACATATCGTACTTAGATCCAACATATAGTGAAAATTCACACACTTATATAACATAAATATTCAAATGTTCAACTTAGTATTCCAAAGATTGAGTTAGGCGAAAAGAAAAATTGGAAAATAGGCACATTTCGCAAACTAAAGAAAAAAATGACACAATTTGACCTCCAACCCGGTACCTTATAGCGGTCGGCCCGGCGGGTGCGTGCGACCCGTTTTTCTCACCGGGTCAGGGTCAAATTGGGTCGACCCGCGGGTTGACAACCTTGGTAATAATATATTGCTCATATTTTATTTTAAATTTTGAAAAAATTAAAAATTATTAATTAAAATAATATAATATTGACGCTCTATTCAAAATAATACAATATTAAATTCTTAAGAAATTGACGCTTTGGCGCTCTCGCTCAACGCTCTGGTTACTTAAAGCACGAATCTGTTTTTTTTTTCCTTAAAAGAACAAAAAAGAGTAGGCACGGATCCTGTAACACTTTAGGCGAATTCCACATCGACAAAGCACGGGAGAGATTCATGGTTCATAAGTAATAAACCGATATTAATTAACAAGACACGTTTTGGGTGAAATGAAAGAGTTCTTATGAGAACTCTCAAGTTAAACGTGTTTAATGTGGAGTACTACAAGTGGCCAAGATCAGGTGACTAGGGGGATCTAGAGAGAAGAGTGGAGGAAATAATTATTTATTTTATTTATTATTTTATTATTGTGGTAATGAAGTGGAATTTTTAAAAGATTAAATTGTTATTTTATTATTTTTTAATTGTCACATCACTTATTTAACGGTCAACTATTAAAGTTGACTGTCAGGTCAGATAAAGTTAACGGAGACTAACGGGAGTGACTAAACTTGAACTATTGAAGTAATTTAAGTGACTACGAATGGAATAAAGCAATGTTAGTAGCAAACGTGAATTTTTATAGTAATTCTATTCAATTTACCCATTCATAGTCCTATATCAAGAGACCACAAAGAAGTTCTGAAAATGAATTGTGCAAACATAAATGACTTTAAATAGCTTAAGCACATATATGGATTACTTTATAGGTAAGATAAAATGCGACTACTCACCCGACCAACAGGTCAAAGCCAAAGCTAGTTTACTAGGCCAGATTTTTCCCTGCTCTAATTATCTCATAGTTGAACCAGTCCAAAGACATAAAAAGCAGCATCACATTTTGGTTGAAGCAAACCAACAAGACATTTCATAAGAAAATCTGAATCCAGATCACCCTTGGACAGAAACTGTATTTCTTAACCTTCACTATCACTTGCCATGCAGGCATGCATGCTGTCCCACGGAATTACAAAACCAGAAGTGCTGAAGGCAAGGGAAGCAAAAGGAGAAGAGCAATCTACTGGCTGATATCTACAATAAGGATGCATACAAACGATTCCATACATGTGAAATAAACCCAGGCATAAAAAGAGAGGGGGCGAGTGTAATATCAATGATGATGCAGCTTGATTACCCGCGATACCCTCGCGAAGAAAATCGGACACATGCTAATACTAAATGTTATCATTGACCTCATCCACTCTGGTGCAACCCTCTCAAAAGTGCCTAATGTTGATGCTCGATATAGAAGCTCCAGTTCTCGTCCAGTTGAATTCTTTACCCATGTTAGACTGAATGAGTAACCTGTTAAGAACCACAGCATTAGGCAACAATTGGATCCACAATCTGAAGACCAACTGATTTGCAGACAAACAAATACACCAGGAAACACATCCATTAACTTCATCCTCTACACTTCATGACCAAGCAATTCTGGAAAGATGAAGTGTCAATTTCACCATGAAGAGGATAGAACCACCTCATCCCATCCAAACAGCATTAGGATTTTAGTAGACATAACAAAAAATAATGGACCACTTTGGATGACCCAGTTTGACAGTTGCAACATCAGGTCATGAAAAATGAAATTGCATCATTCTATACTCCCCCAATGACCATTTCCTTTTTCCTTTCTACTTATAAATGTGGGATGAATAGGAACAAAGAAAGCATTACCACTTGTTTGATGTAAAGCTGAAATGCATACTCCATCAGTTTGATGGACGGCAGATAGTTTCATGCCAATCAAGTATTCCATAAGAGCTTGAAATCGGCAGTTAGTAGGATCCCCATCATTGCACGCACCAGTACCTAAATAAGTGCAAATAGTATGAACAAACTTTGTCTGTCAAGATAACGAAAGATAAATAATCTCACAATTGTACCTGATTTATCCAAAGATGTTTTACAGCATGTTGGCTGAAATAGCATAGAAGATTAGTCAGAGATATGAGAAACATTAGATTTAGATCTAAAAGTACACTTTTGAAACATACCAACTGAACACTGCAAAGTCCACTGGCAACCTTGGATGAATTGCTTGCTGATTTTTCTTTTCTTCGCCTCTTAGAAGATTGACCATCAGAACCATGCATAGCTATACCTGCTTCCATATGCTTCTTGGCTTCTCGGCTGCGCTTTCGGGTCATTATTCTCATTGAGCCATTAGAGACCTCATGTGTCGTGATTTGATCACTATTGTTCAGGCCATCAGACTCAAGCAGCTGGTTGCTTGGACCAGGAGTAGGAGTACACTGATCCATCGCATCTCTTATTCCTGAATTAGATTTTCCAGCATTTCTCCTCAGTGAATTATTAAGTTGTATGCTTACCTCATCTACTAAATGACTAGATTCATTGAGCTGTTTCTGAAGCCTCTCAACTTCATCAGAAAGCATTTTCCCTGCCACATAAGATGCCATCGATGAGTAAGTGGACACAAGTTTTCCAACACACCATTATCATCACTTTTAAGCAGGATTTTACAAGAAAAACATGTTAAGACTATTCTCAGATGAATGTACAGCATCGAAGGTGGATCCTCCCAGAAAGAGGTCAAGTATGAATTGAATGGGCAATACAACTTAATTAAATAAAGTTGCTTTAGGATGTACAATTTATCTCTAGTTCATTGACCCTAGTGGACAATGTAGATATGACATCTAGGAGAGTACGATGATATGTGTGTCACTAATCTTCTACCATACTAGTAGATGAAAGAAAAGATTATTGCAAGGGCAGTTTAGAGGGGAGGGAGGAATCAACTTTTAGCTCAGACAAACTAAGCAAGTTCTTTCTGAAATAACAGCTGATACACTCCATATTCAGACCCCAATCCTCCATTGTAATGGGATGAATCTGTACTAAGCTCTCTCTCTCTCTCTCTCCCTCATGAAAATGGTGAATAACAAAACAAGTCAAAGTAGCTTACTCTTTTCACTCTCTTCGAGCAGCAATTTCTGGTGCTCCGCACGTTCCTCATCCTGCTTGGACCTACAAACTCAGGCCTATATTACTAGATATCCTCTAAAAAGCCATACAGATGGAAACACTGGTCTAACGACAACTAAACTGGTAAAGCATACCTGATTGATGTAACTTCAAATTTCAACTCTCTAACTTCAGCACGCAACTGGCTGTTATCATCTTTCAAGTGTTGTATGAGATCCTCCGCAGCTGCATTGATAGAAGGAAGTCAACTGAGGACTTTCAGGATTTGAAGTTTTTCTTATTCCAATGCTCCACTCGACACATCGCCTATTGTAACCAAATTTCTATCATTCTATGTAATCTTTTCACTCTAACACAACGACTAGGAAGCTAGTTAATTCCAGCCTAAAAGTCAAATAAGTGCCTATGCTCGGTTCCGAGCCTTTAAGAAATCAAATTGGCGCCTAAACAACCAAACCCTAGCTAACCCAAAGTTCTGTAATTGGCAAATTCAAACGCCAGGTGACTGCAGCCTGCGTATGGGAAGCGCAACGTTCACTCTATAGCTATGGTGTACAGATGAAAAGCACGAATTTCTCCAAAGAGCATACCGGAAACAAAATTCAAGAACTTCACTTCCTGGTCTTGGTTGATTTCATCCAAAGGGGATGCTTTTTCCTTCTGTTGCATCATCCAAGAAGAGGCATTGAGTAGTCAGCTAAAGCTTGAAACAGCAGGCACATATGATGGAAGAAGAAAGTAGAACCTCAAAATTCAAACTGCCGAACGAAATGAGTCTCTGACCTTTAACGAGACGAACTTATCATAAAGCTTCTTATACAGAGCCTCCATCAGTTTTGCTAAATTCGTTTCCAAGTCAACCAACGCAGCAATTTCAATTTCTACCAGCGACAGATGTGGCCAGATTGGGAAGGAGGCGATCCCGCTGATTTTCAGTAGCGAGAGGTGAGAGAAAGAGACGAGGAAATCAGAAGGCGCCCTCACTTATCCTCTGGCTCCTCCAGGAGAAAGACAGGAGCTAAAATTTACAGGTGAGAAGAGGGATCCGAAACCCTAGAAATGCAGGTACCGGAGACCGGCATGGAGGTAGAACCTGTGTTTGTGTACCCTCGGCGGGCGGAGAAGGGCGGGGATTGAAAACTGAAAAATTCAAACGGCTGAAGAAATTGGATTACTCGGTGGCCGGTGCTCTCACGACTCACGCTACAACTACAACACTACTCACTACAGTTGACAGCCCGACACTCTAGAGTCTAGTCAGATTTCCCAGCCAGGCTGCCAAACTATTGCTACTTGAGAAATTGAAAATGTTATGGAATCTTTAATTAAGACTCCAATTTCAGGGAAATCCCAAAATACATATGTTTTTAATAAAAAAAATTAAAATATATGAAAAAAATTCTCAATCTAATGCATGTTCGAGTATTCACCGCACAAGAGAAAGGCGGTGATTGCATCACCGTAGGAGAGGAGGGCGGTGATTGGGCACTGATTGCATCACCGTTGTAGAGGAAGGCGGTGATTGCATCACCGTTGTATAGAAAGGCGGTGAATGCTTCACTGCGTTACAGGGCCGTGGTGAAGGCCTAACCTGCGTCGAAACTTTAAACGAACGTAACTTTAAACGAACTCTAAACTTTAAACTTTAGATAATTAGGACCTAGGGGTCACTCATTAGGAGTTAGGGTATAGTATCATGCCCAAAAATTCTGCTAATTCGAGATCTAGATAGCGTTTTCATACTCAAGGTATGCGGTACCCCGGATTTCACCCAGGGTACCGTAGAAGGCACGATAATATATATATATATATATATATGAACGTTGATTGAAAATTTATTTTATTATTTTATTTACATACAATATTAAAGTATTATGTTATCTAAAAATTAAATATGTGTATCTATAACATATCAGTGATTAAAATTATTAAGTGAAATTCAAGTGGAGAAAGAAATCAAAGGTTCAAACAAAAGAAAGGGTTATGGGTATAATATGCCCCTCTACTATGGTGTTTTATCAAACATGCCCCTTTACTATTTTTTACATCAAACATGCCCCTGTACTTTGGAAAACTTATCAAACATGCCCTTCAGTTGAAATTTCCATCGAAAAAATCGTCAATCATGGTTGAACCGAGATTTAGACGACCTGACATAGATAAATGGGAGGAGAAATGTCAGTTTTGACCCTAGTTTTATTTCTCTAGGCCTCATCAAAGTAAAATTATTAGAATTATTTGGCTATACAAACGAATAAAAAAAACTTTAAAGTGAAATTATTAGGGATATTTTAGATATTTGGGTCGCCCAAACCAAATTTCGGTCTTGGTTAACAGTTTTTGGATTAAACTTTTAACAAAAGGGCATGTTTGATAAGTTTTCTAAAGTACAGGGGCATGTTTGATGTAAAAAATAGTAGAGGGGCATGTTTGATAAAACGTCATAATAGAGGGGCATATTATACCTATAACCCCAAAAGAAAAGAAAGAAATCGCTTTTCCTCCACTACCAAGAAGAAGAAAAGGGACCAATGGAACCCACTTTTGGTTCGCATCCCATTTGCATTTGCATGGTGTGCAAATTTGCAGCCATGATGAAAGCATACTCCCAATGTGGAAATTGGTACGATATGAGTATCTCAATGCCAAATAGTGAAATTCTAAATATTGAATTACACCCTAAAATTAATCTCAATCTCAATTCCTAAATAATTTCGGTATCTCAATCTCAATCCCTAAATATGTCGGTATCTCAATCGGTACTTCGGTATCTCAATCGGTATTATCGAATACGAAATCAATTACCTTTATAATTAATAATTAAATATATAAATTAGATTTGATTGTTTAATATAGAACAAAGAGACTAAACAAAGAGTCTTGAGTTTGGCTAGAGTTAGGACATGAATAAGGAGAATGGAGGAGAGGTGACATCTCAAGTTTTTGTCATTTGTAAACTTATTTTAACGAATTAGAGGCTGAGACATGACTAATACTAATGTTTGCTTTTTGGTGTTATGAAAATAACAATAGATTGGTAGTCGAGGGCAATGTATTAGTGAATGAGAGAGTCTAGTTGAGAGGATAAAACACACACTAGCATATATTTCGGTATTGTTCGGTATTTTGGTATATACCGATCTCAATCTCGTAATCCCTAATACAGAATAACAATTGAAATTGAATCCCAATCCCAAGAAATAATATGTTTATTCGGTAATACCAAATATAGACAAATTCGGTACGATATTCGGTATATCCCAAATACCGATACCAAACTTCCAGCCCTACTCCCAACAATGTCACTCCACTTTTTCATTGCAAGTAGGGGTGGAAATCGGTACGGTATTGATATCCTAATACCAAATACCGAAATCCCAAATATCAAATTATACCCGAAAGTCACTCTCAATCCCTAAATAATTTCGGTATCCCAATCTCAATAACTAAATATTCTGGTATCCCAATCGGTACTTCGGTATCCCAATCAATATTATCGAATACGAAATTAATTATATTTCAAATAAATAATTAAATATATAAATTATATTTTATTCTTTAATTTAGGGCAAAGAGACTAAGCAAAGAGTATAGAGTTGCCTAGAGCTAGGATATGGATAAGGAGAATGAAAGAGACGTGACATCTCAAGTTCTTGTCATTGGTAATCTTTAATTTGACGAATTGAAGGCTGAGAGTCGACTAATACTAGTTTATTCTTTTTGGTGTTATGAAAATAACAAGTTATTAGGTGAGAGATGAGAGTGACTTAAATTGGAAAGTCAAAATTGAGTAGGATGGGGGCTTTTGAGTTGTGAAACAAAGATGAAATGATCTATGTATAATTAAATGACACTCTTGGTGGTTGATGGTTGTGTAGTAGTGAATGAGAGAGTCTAGTTGAGACGATAAAATACACGCTAGCTTATATTTTGGTATTGATCTGTATTTCGGTATATAACGATCCCAATCTCGTAATCCCTAATACCGAATTACAATTGAAATTCAATCCCAATCCCAATCCCAAGAAATAATACGTGTATTTGGTAATACCAAATATAGACAAATTCGATACGGTATTCGGCATATCCCAAATACCGGTACCAAACTTCCAGCCCTAATTGCAAGAGGGAGCCATGTCATCTTGCAAATACCCCCAATACCATCATTAGGGTTGCTCTAAAATATTGTAAGAGTTGGTTTGGAAAATTGGAGTTTAAATCTCTAGATTCTAAACAATTTGAATATTTTATCTTCATGAATAGTTGAAAAGGTTTTTCAAAATTGCATTGCTTAGTAAATACGGTTGTTAACATTTAATGACAATATAATTTCTAATAATATTAATTGACATGTTTACCCTTAACCAAAACAACTAGAGTGACTCGAGAAATATTAATAATTTATTGGTAAGGGTATTTAGCGGGATAACTTAAAAAGAAATGGATTAAAGGATAAAAAATGTCACAAATCAAGATATAGAATCTCTCTAATTTTTGATAATTTATTAGAGATTTGAAAACTCAAAAGGTAAAATCCATGATATGAACAACAATTAAAAAAAACATAACTTTCTAATGAATCAATAGATTTGGAGAGGACAAGACATTGTGGGGAATGGAGAAAGATGGAAGATTCAAAATTAGCTCTGCTTATCATCTTGTGGAGGGAGAGCTGGAGAAGGAGCCAATTCAAATATGCGACGACTTGTGGAAATGGAGTGGTCCAAGCAGAGTAAAAATTTTTGTTTGCCTGGCCACGCATAATAAGCTCCTCACTAATGCGGAAAGGGAAAAAACGCCAGCTTACTGCTAATGACTCGTGCAACAATTGTAAAGACGGAGAAGGAACTCTCGAGCATATTATTAGAAGATGCAAGAAGACTGCAGGAATCTGGAAAGCTTTCAGTGGAAAGGTGAAAGATAAGAGAAACAACATCGACTTCACGACATGGATTAACAGTAACATTAAAGCTGATGACACAGGGGTTGATTTCGGCCTTATTTGTTGGCTGATTTGGAAACAAAGAAATGGGGAGGTTATGGATGGTAAGAACTACTAGGAGGATGAGTTGATTTGCAGGATCAAGGTGTGGTTCAAAATTGATGAACAAGCTAAGTAGAATTCAAATTTGTGCTCTCCCCCATCGAACACTCACCGGACAGAACTTCCAGTGGGCTGGAAATAGGAATGGCAATGGGGCAGGTCCGGGGCGGGTTTTTTGGTACCCAGACCCGCCCCGTGGCAGGTCGGGTCCAGGTCGGATAATTTATCACGGGTCACGGGTCGGGGCAGGTCGACCCAATGGGTAAGCAATTTATATGAAAAATATTAGAAATGTTCGTTATTTTTATTATAAGACCATGGAAACAAACAATATTATGATAAATATAGTTAAATTATTGGAGAAATTGAGGTTTTCATTAATTTACAACTTTATTGCAGCTAAAATTTGATTTAGTAAAAGGAAAATCCTAAGTAATTTGACTAAAATTAAGTGTAATTTAGGCAAGAACGGGTCGAGAATGGGGCGGGTCAGGGCAGGTCGGGTCTATGAGAGTACCCATGCCCGCCCCGCCCCACCTACGGGGCGGGTCGGACCCGCCCCAAAACAGGTCAAACAGGTCGGGTAAAACGGGTCAGGTCGAAATTGCCATCCCTAGCTGGAAACCGCCAAGAGAAAGCTTGGTTCAAGTTCAGACAAATGGCTCGGTGTTGGGTGATTCACTTGCTGCTGCAGCAGGTGGATTGATAAGAGACATATATGAAAAATGTTTGGATGCCTTCTCGTGCAACCTGGGTGTCTGCTCTACCACCCGTGCAGAGCTCAAGGGTGCGGGTGTTGGGCTCGAAAGAGCTTGGCAGCTCGGATTCAGAGATGTGGAGTTAAATCTTAACTATCAAACAACCGTTAACATCATCAAGAATTGGCAGGATGATGATCACCAGCACGGTTTGCTTGCCAGCAAGATCGAACGCCTGCTTACTCGTGACTGACACGTGGTAGTGAAGCATGTGTTGTAGGTAGTGTAACTACTCTGTTGATTTTTTTTTGCTTCTAAGGGTCACTATCTTACTTTTGGCACCTATTATTTTGATGTGTGCGACACTCACCTTTACCACTGGCTATTGTATGACGTTTTGGGTAATACCATGACCTGTTCTATTAATATGATGATTTAGGAAGCTTTCATCCTGTTCTCTAAAAAAATGCTAAATTCATTACCAAAATCCCTTTCTCCAAACGACCCCTAAACCTATGACTCATCTTTCTCATTTTGTTATAAATGAT